TTTGATTATTTAATATTAAAGAAAGAACGTGCAACAAATCAAATGGAATTTAGATCGGGGAACCCCATTGCACATTAATATGTTCCAAGACAGTGTTATGCCCTAGCAGCGCGTGCCAGTGTAGAACGTGTGTCACTGTCTGTGTGGAAATAAAATAATCAAACGTCTAATCTGAATCACTGTCCGAATAAATTACTCGTGGATGTTTAGTTGGGGCCACAACAGAGCCAGAAATTGAACTGGACGATTATGATACACAGTTTATGTTGAAGTTAAAAGTTCCTCCACAGAATTGTGCATTGGCAAACAAGCCATGCAACTGCGGTACTCCACAGACAGGATGACTTTCGTCGACAGCGGCCGTTGCTGAGCTGCAAGCTACAACTTCCTTTATGATATTGCTTGCTGGTCGTGGATTGAATGAGTCTTGGTTACCGGTTAAAATGTTGCTCATTTGGCACTAATAATCTTTATTTGGAACTCCGTAATGCTGCAACGTCGCCAGCAGAAACCTCCTGGTATCTTGATGTTCATCGGTTGCGGCACTATAGTAATCGCTGATTTTACTGCGGGTGGGTCTTTCCAGAGCCCTTCAAGGTTTATATAACTCAATTTCCAGGTGATCAACATACATTAAGTTCTCCCAATCGTAGTATTTTATGTGATGTACACCTGACATGTCACAAATTTGAACCGGATAAAAATAGCAGACAAAAACGTGTTTACAAAATAAAAGTAGTTCGGTAGCCAATGGAAATACCATGTTGCATATAGACCGTGAAAATACTGAAAACATTATTGCATGGGTGATATGCAAATTAGTTTGACTCAAAATAAGTGACTGCCTAAAAGTACCATTACTGTAGTTCAAATTTCATTTCACTCGGCAAGTATATTCATGTACCCCAAGGGGAAAATATCGTACTACTAAATATTGTTTATTTCGAAAAACGGTACTCCTGAAGGGACTACTTTGTTTGCTCTCAGACCTCATTTGCATATGGGTTGTGGAAATACCGATTTTGATTTCAGGGACGAATCAAAATAAACTGCAGTACATATGTAATAAATTATTATTATTACACAATTAATATCAAAAAATTGAAAATGGCTCTGGTTTTGAGTTCTGAGTTTATTGCATTACTAAGAATGTGTCTGTAACTGAATTTGATAAATACTTGTTTGTAAGTACTTTTGTTTTTCACAAGTTGAATACATATTATTGTATGTTTCCCAGAGATAAATTTTGTCCTACTTCTGTATGCGTGGAAACATTATAGCGAGAGGGTCATCACCTGGACACGTGAGGGAATTGAGTTCCGAGCAACGATATCAACATACGCTGAAAACGCAAAGGCTCATGAGTAGAAGCTTGCTTATAAACAATGACACGCTATGGCCATCTGACGTATGTGCAGGTGATGACTCCCCGCTTTAAATATGTTTTCAATATTTTATGATCATTTCATAAACTTTTAAGGGTAATTAATCTGGATGCCTTCCACAACACATCAACATGTTCGGTACAAAACTAAAATAATTGCCTAAAACTGATTACATCTGATACATGTGTCAATAACAATCACGTCTTAAGCCAAAAAATTTGAAACTCTGTCATTAACCCATTGATCATTTTTCCCAACTCAATTAATTATGTGGCTACATTTTGGACATTTTTCACAAATTTCTTTGTTAATTTTGAATCAAGTAAACATAATTTTATGTTTCCTACAAGTGTTGATCAACATTTTTGAAAGAAAATAAAATTATGTTGGTTTAATTTTTTGAATGGTGACAAAAGTTGACTCCAATTTTTCATAATTTGATATAATTCAACTGCAACTCATACAGCAAATCATACAGCAGATCAAAATTCAGGAGTTTCTTTGACATAAGACTGCATTTTAGTAAAAGGTAAAACTCACCACATTTCATATGTCAATTTAACAAACCTTGTTTTACACCAGTTAAATGCCAATTTTTAAATCTCACAAAAGGGCAGAGTTAACAACAAATTAACGATAAAATCGAGATAGATATACAGAATGATAAATTGACATAACTATTTGCATCTTAACTATTTGCAAGGTGAAATATATGTCTACCCTACAATTGTACAATTATATTTACCAGAAAGTTTGTAATGAAGAATAATGTTTGTATGACTGAAGTGAAATACAATTCACTTTGAAATAATGCAAGGTTAACTCAATCTAAGCATGGCCAGAACTGCCCCTCTCAGAATCTGTATATATATAATATTTGTCACTTTCATGGACGTGTTCATGATCAGTAACCTATAATGGTTTTCTCCAGAAAACCTAATTTCTGTAAAGTACATATATCATCATATTTAAATCACATCTTTTTGTTTATTGACACTTTAATACGATTCAATTAGTGTTAGAGCTTCATCTCTGTCATTATAGCAATATGTACTAGTTTTGCAATAATGCGATGTCATAATGTGTCCAATTTCATCGATATTAATTCAGTTTTTTGGAATAATGATCTATTTATGTATCAAATTACATTTTTATTGCTATGGGAATCTAACTGCCGCACAATATATTATATCGCTGAAAATGGCTCCAGTGTCGGCTAAGAAATTATTGCAGACACATGCAAGTGTAAGGTTTTAGACTAGTTTTTGTGTAAAAAATGGCCGTCAGTCAGACGTACATGATCAAATTATAAAATACATTGATGTGGATATATGGGTATTACATTTCTAGCTGTATGGTCAAGCTAGACATTAATCGACCGACCCAGCAGGTCTGGAAAATTGTTGTACACATAAAGTTTTAATATTTTATCTGAATGTGGGGACTAATAAAATGTTGAAAACTGTTTTTTCATCATTTTGACAGTATATTCTGTTTGTATTAAAAAATGAATTTATTACGTACCTTGATAGCTTTCAGAATATCACCAAATATGGGCGTATCTTCAACAAGATCATCAAATACGCAACTGAAAATCTGTAGTCGGTGGAAATTTGGACCGCCAAGTCGATACACTTCATCCAGGGCTAACAGCAACTAAAAGAAATCAAACAGAAATTTAATTTAATTTTAATATCAACAGCATTCATATGTTCATGATTGGCTTCACAGTGTGTACGTTTGATGTAATTTAACATAACAAATATTGGAAGATATTTTCTGTAATATCTGCAAAGTATCAGCTATTAATCATTCAGACGTGCCTTTGTAATATATCAACCGACTGATATTACCATAATCTATAAGAACGTGCCTCAGAAACAGAATCATTGAAGAATGTATCAAATAATTTCATATTGTACTGCAACTTGTGACGCAACAATGAAGCTTATGGAAAAAAAATATGTGTCTCAGCCACAGTAAGCATATTTGTAGTGTCATTACACTGGTCATACACCATCGATGCACTTGCTGCCTGGATTTTCTTAAACCTCAGGCTACGGCAGATAAGAAAAATTCAATCTTATTGTCATACACTTCACTGGTATGAACTTGTCATGAAGACCTGTTGTCACTATTAATATCTTTAGAAAAAAAAGCTCAGAGGCAATTGCTATTCGCATCATATAGAAACTGATCCGTGAAGGGAATTCATTCTTGCCGTACACGACCAAAATTACAGGAGCATTTGCCGCATTAACAAAGAAAGTCAAAATAAAGAATTTTGCAAAATCAAAAGTTTTAAAGAGATCCTACAGCTCCCTGGAACTATATGACAGACTGTATGATCACTGTCTGTTATCAAAATTATTTCTTACGATGAACGGATCAAAGTACTTACAGAAAAGTTCACAGAAGTCAGAGTCACATAGAGGACAATAGAGGAAATAAACATGAATCATTGCATACATGTGCACGCCAATTTACTGACCTCAGTTGAAGATAATGAGAACAATGATATTTGAAGTAATCCCAGTGCCTAAACACATGTGAATTGTTATAAACCTATAATGAATATCACCCACATAATCACACACATAAGACAAAGGGATTCTGCTTTAATAATCACAATAAGAACTGATGATAAACCCATTATATGTGCATTTCGTAACAGAAATAATATCTTTGAGAAAGATACATGTATCTAGTGCATGTCAGTGATCAACATTGATATGTTTCCAGTCAGTATAAATACATAGTTTTAGGAAGATATTTGACTATATCGCAACTAGAGAAATCAAAACATGTCTATTCACAAAACCGTTTGACTTGTCTAAACAAAACTGCATACATGTGACCATACACTAACATTTTTTTTTTTTTTTTAAAAGTGCAGGATTGTTTATTGGATTAATTTTCAGCTTTATTTCCTTACTGAAATAATGGGAAACAATAGACAAATTAATTGTTTAAAAAACAAGAAAATAGTATCCCATGGTGCAATCCTAGGGATTGAGGAGCCCTGGTTTAATTATATATCAGTATTAAACATCCGAGCCGCTAACATAGATTTGTAAGGAAAACATTTTTGTTGCTATTTGCCACACATATTATAAGTGTTTCACCCCATCATGTCCAATTCCAGCAATTTAGCAAGCATATGACCGATGTACACTAAGCTCTGGAAACCTTGAATACAGCTTAAACATAAGGGTGGGGGATTTGTCGTGATGTTAATCCAAAAACAGTCTAATACATCATTTTCAAAAAGCATGTAGCCCTTATCCGGTTATGATAATAAATTCTGACTTGAAGGTGCAAAAGAAAGATGGTTTCCATGAGAATACTGTAGTACATACACTTGTTAGAAACCAATCTCATTTAAACCTGATGAGCTGATTGCATAAATCCATGTGGTGGGAGAAAACATATTTGTAAAGAATATTACTTACTGCAATTCATGCACCACCCACTCGATACTTGCAAGCACATGATTAAAAACAAAATCAATGTTGTGACGTGTAATGCAGTGCGACAGTCGAACAATACAGCTGTCAACTCAGATTGCAACTTCAAACTCAATACAAATGAGAAAAATGTGAAATTGGTCATAAATTCCAATATAGTGATGTCAGAGATGACTACCATCAGCCAATCACCATGGTATAATTAAGCCTGTATAATTATGTACATAGTCTGGTTTTTAGGAAATAAAGTTTGAGTTCTGAATAATTGCTATTAAAGTGCATGGCACACAATCTGGCATGAAGCTTATACAGTTGTACATTTCATACATGTGTACGAGAAAAACTAAATTCTTATTAACCAATGCTTAAAAATACTAATTTCGTAAGCAGTGACCTCTGATCCATCAGTTTCAAAGCAATAATGGGTGAACACAGTCACTGCGAGTTCTCAAGTTTAAGAAGTATATAGAGTTTGAAAAGTCAGAAAATATCAGAGATATGGTCCAAAACTACTAAAACCAAATGGCCCCCAGTTGGCCATTTTGAGTCCAATCTGAAAAACAAAATGGCATGCACCAAGATCCCATTAAGTTCAAATTACAGGCAGAGTTTGAACAAAATCTGCTATGCTTGATTTTGATGAATTTTTAACATTAAAACACCACAATTTGGCCATCTTGAATAGGATAACAAAATGAATAAATATGCATATATGCAACATGATGTACGATGTATATGTAAAGTTTGAAAATGTTTGGTGAGGGAATGCCCCAGATAAAGCGCTGGAAATAAATTTGTTAAAACAAAATGGCCACCAGGCAGCTATTTCTATATAATCCGATCTGAGAAACAAAATGACTTGCATCCAGGTCACATCAAGGCCCCAATGTTTGTACCAAGTTTGAATGAAATCTGTCCATACACAACCAAGATCTGGTTATGTAATGGCAGAAATGCTTGATTTTTATGAATTTTTAGCACAAAAATTTTGAATCAGATCATGAAACAAATAAACATGCATATATCAGCAAAGATATGTGATGTATTTGTGAAGTTTGAATGTGATCAGATCAGACATGTCCAAGATACAGTTGGAGATGCATGCACACATGCGCAAAAATAAACATGTCAAAACATAAGTCCCCAGTTGCGGCTTACGTTCGAACGAGGACTGAAACAACTTGTCATAGAACCAAACCTTTTAAAATGCACAATGACACACAATCCAGTTACATTGCATAATATAGTGTCATGGAGGATGGAGGTTTGACATTGAACTAGTAAAACTCGGCAGAATCGTTTTCCAGCACTCTATCACATCATTATTTTTAAACCCTGTTCGGACTAAGTCTGAAAACCAAGATTATTAATTTTGCGTTCAATTTTTTCAACATGCATTGATCAAACTTAGAATTTTAAACTTAATTGGTACAATAGCATATATATGCAGCACGCCAGTTTTGTTTTTAATAAGGCCGACTGGTGGCCATTTTTGACATAAAATTGAGCTAATCCCGATATATGTCTTCAACCATGTCTTCTGAGATGACCTGGCTGATTTTGAATCAAACTTGGTATGATGACAATAAATATTGACTTGCACTTGCACATTGTTATTTTTGTCAGCATTTCCTGACAAACAACTGCATCAGTGCATAGCAATCATTTTGTATTTTCACTTCTGTCTCTCAGACATATATGCAGAGACGAATTAATCACAAAGTTGATATATAAGATGCATAAAACCTAAAGTTACTACACCACAGAAGTTAGATACATATATACATACACGATAATAATCATGCGCACAAAACAGCGTCATCCCAGATGAAACTCAGAATTTTCAAAATTGTTATTCATGGATCCTACAAGCTCTTTCGAGATTTCTAGTAAAGGCTCAACATGATTCACTTAATACACAGAAAGCTATTTCCACTTCACTTCTAAAATCAAATTACATCCAGATTAACTATAATAGTACTACAATACATATATACCCAAATCACAGCTGTTAAATTTCTCGTTTTGTACATCAGTATGCACATGATTTGAAAAATATTGAGGAGAATACACAAGTCTGTTGAATCACAAATCAATCAGGCATTGAGAGAGTAATGCACACACGTCTGACCATCTGTACAGATGGTCTTAAGTCCAGCAGAAAGAAGAGTATGAATTCAAATAGGCATAAGAGTATTATTCACGAATAACACTCAGGCGCAGCTGTGACACAGGAACCATTAGAGTGGCCATACAAATGAGAGAGACCTCCATCTGCAAAGGTTTCTATTTGATAGCACACAGTGATTAGTGTTTTTGATAAACGTCACCTTTGGAACAGTTGGAATTCTAGAAATACTATGATTATAACCATTATGAATACATCTCAGTATAAATATTGTGTATATATATATATAGGGTATTTTTACAATATGTCAGCTTAGAAAGGTGATCTATGTAGATATAGCCAGGATATACATTGTACATGTACTGTTAAATCTCTATTAGAAGCCACATCCCTAATAGAAGTCGTACACATGAACAATTGAGAACCAAAAATTCACAATGTGTGGATGCTCTGATAGAAACCGCATCTCCTCTGTGGTACCATTTTAATAAAAGTCAAGGCTTATAAAACAGATTTTACAGTAACAGAACAGATAGACACAGCTTTTAGATCAGTATAGGTACATACAGACTGTTCAAATAACTTATTAAAGATACAACGTACATGTACACCTTGCTAAGATATGTCAATATAGAGACAGGGTGCCACGCATGTATGTGGTTGTCAATATACACAGGTTGTAGGGTCATTATAGAAAGGTTTTCAAGTATTTCTGCCGGCTTAATAATCTGTTAAGCTTAAAAAAGAGAAGAGGCAGGTCTAAAAACAATGCCGTCCGAAGTGGATGCATGCACAAATAATAATGATAATAATGTTGTATTGCATCTTTTAAAATAACATTTCTATCAGTGTACAGCATCAAAGTGTTAAGAGATAACAAATACCGGTATATAAAATATATAACAAATGATATTATATTTAGCAAATTCATAATCCAGAGTGGTTCTGTCAGATAAGCAGTTTTACTTGAGGCATATACATGTATATAGTATTTTTAAATAATGATTTCAACAACATGTATTTGGTTCAAGGAGGAAAAATACGTGATGATGTTAGGTTTT